CTTTTTCCTCCTTTTCTTTAATTCCCTGTCTCTTTCCTTGTCCCCTCCCCTTTCCTTAACATGGCAACATATATTTAAATTACTTTTGCTTTCCAGTAAAGAAATTGGGACTGAGCAGATCCATTGCTTTTGGGATAATGTTTCAGAATTAAAAAAAWTTTACAGCCACATTTTAAAAGCCGCAAGCTAGCAAAGAAATATTGCTCTGATGTTTAGCTGCTTAACATGTGCTAGTGACTGAACTTAAGAAACAAAATGCCCCTCACACCTTCCCTCCCCCAACACTGCTGCCAAACAGGCTCATTTGAAAGGTACTTTCCTTTCAGAGTGAACCAATTTACCTCTTCACATGAAAGTGAAACTTCACAGCACCCCAGGAAAGTCAGTAGCCCCTCTGGAGACAGCAGATGAAGGAAAAGGAGAATATCACAGTTGAGTTTTGGCCTGTTATTTGAGGCTTCCTTCTCAGACACRGATTTTTCTTCTTTTGGAGACACAGGACCAGAATAACCATTATTCYTCTGAATGACAAGGTGTTCTGCTCATTAACATACCTCACAAATCGCTTTCAAGCAGAATATCATCTCTCTTAATTATGCATTTGATGTACACCACGGTTTTGCTACAACATCAGAATTACTGTGTTCAGCCTAAGAGGCTTTGGCTGTCTGCATCTACTATCAGCTTGGATTACTATTAATACAAATAGAACTCCACYGAGATTTTTTTTTTCCCAGACTCAAAGCTAATGCTAATGTTAAAACCTTTTTGAGTGCTGGCACTCATCCAGAAGTTTAAAATAACTTGGTAAGAGCAAACATTGCATATATATGGATTCCTAGTTATCTGTAACTCTAAAAATCCCTTAAAATTTACAACTGAACACAAGACGAAATTGATACAGAACTGATTAATTCGACATGATGGATCATCTGGATTCCCAAAGTCATCTCCAAATTGGAAATAAAAATTGTTCCTACTTCTTTTTATTCACAGATATATACCTAATGATAAGCATCTTAAAGCAACTAGAGAAAAAAAATCATTCCTTAATGAGATAGGCAAAAGAAATTAGAGGAAATAAACAGGGGAATTGTAACAACAAATTTAAAACAATAGGAAAAGGCAAAGTGTTCAGATTCTGCTCAGGGGAGGAAAATGTGGGGCTTGTTCCACTCTGAGGACATACTACAAGTCCATAGAAGCAGATTGCTTACTCTAAGTGAAGTAAGTTACTGCCGCAGCTAAGACTGCTGTAAGAGGAAGGAAAGGAACGGAGAGAAAGAGATACAGTAAAAGCACCAACAGAGTTCTGCAAACCAACTTCAGATTCACTTGCAAATGAATGCATCCACGTTAGCTCCTAAGAAAACTATCTTTCACACCTACATTTCTATTTAGCATAACTAACTGCCAAAAACAAAGAAGTAAAAGATCATGTGTACTGTTAAACTGTGCTATAGGATGGGTCTCATCATGAACTAATTCATGATGAAGAAAGCAYACACAAAGCATATTTTTCGCTTACTGATTCACGTTTTCCAAAAGATAAGGTGTACTTTGTAACTTACAGGACCAATGCAAAAGCATGCAGCCATAATCCCTGGTTCAATTTTTCTTTAGTGTTTGCTTAAAGTGGYATACAATCGTTACAGCTCTATTAAATACTTGCAGTAGAAGAATGTAAGCATTTTAACATGCTGTTAGTATTTTCAAATGTTCGGTATAGATAAATCAGCAGAAAAGTATGATGAAGCAGAAAAAGAAAAAACAAAACTTGCAAGCCTTCCCAGATTTGCAGTCTTTGCTTTTACCTGAAAGCTCAAGACAACATCCTTCATATAAATGGGTTTTTTTTTTCCTTCTATCTATCATCCCTTCATGGTGTGTATGTAAGTGACAGGTGAGCAACTCAAGAACAAACAATACTAAAAATAGAAAGAATACATCATATTTCAGAATTTTTCCCTTTTTTGGCATTAAATACACTTCAGGTTTACTTTTGGCCACTTGTTTGCATTGTTTTCTTAACCTAGACTTCTCATATAAAAAGATGTAATTAATTTTATCCATTATAATTATGTTCAGCCTGAAAATTATTAGCTCTCTTTTAGCTTTTAATCTGTATCAGACTCATGCTAAATGAAAAATTAAGCTACACTATGTTGCATCTAGGGAATAGTCATGCACTCTTCTATGCCCTGATTAATTTAGTTAAATAGATTTCAAATTTATTTATTGGCTATCAGAATATGATTCAATGAAAAGAAAACTTTTAATAAGAGATGAGTGATATATCTACAACAGAGTCAATAAAAGCAGATCTTCTAACTTCAGGCTGTTTCAAATGCATGGTGCAGATAGCTGCATGACAAGAGACATGATAAAACGTATTGTATTTATTGGTACTTACAAATACCCTTCTTAAGACAAAAATATCAGGAGAAAAGTACTTAAGAAAGCTAGCTGCTGATCTTCATACAGAAGCCAATTTAATGGTCTGATGTCTAAATCTGACAAGCAACATGTAAACAAAATGTACCAGCCCCTGGAACACTCAAACATTATTTTTAGAGCCACTTAAGTGGTTAAAGTTAATTTAAAGTGGTGAAAATCGTAAATACCTTTACTATTAGAAAAATAGATTAGTAAAAGGACTTCCTTCCTGAGTGATGATAATTATCCTGGGGATAAATCTGGCATGATATTCAATGATACTCCTCGCACAAYATAAAACCTCTTTGATTACATTTTCTAACTTGCATTTTTTCCTTATAATATTGTAAATTATTAATTTCAATAAAAATGTCCATATTTACCTAAGACTATGCAGTGACCTAAATAAAAGAGATGAGACCTTTTTCTACCTAGAGTGTCTTATATTTTATTAATTGCTACATTTTAAGTAGCTCATAAAAGAGAAGTGTTGTTTAAGTAAACCGGTATTKTATTTTTATGGCAAATATGTATTTAAAGCTGTCAGAATACATTCATAAAAAATGCTAAASAAATTGCAATTTTATTTGAGAAATATAAATATATGAAAGAATCTACACCCATTAACAAAATTCAAAGACCACGATATTACTGCTTCCTGACAATTAAATTTATAGGACTTTATGCAGTCTTCTAATAGGAGATCCACCTATCAGTGGATTAAAGGTAGAAACAGGAAAAGGGGAAGGGATAAGAATAATGAGGAAGAGGAAGACAGGCAACATTAACCTAAGTTATTTTCTGTTAGTAATTTCCAATTACTGCTTGGGGTTATAGTTTGTATATATATATATATATATAGTTTGCTCTCACTCTACAATTACTTTATATCTTACACTGTATTATAGCCACATAAAGAATACAATTGCCTGGAAATCCTAATTTCCCCTACCAATCCTAATTTTTAATATGCTAAACTTAATTATGAGGATTAATAGTTCCTTGATTACACTTCTGCCATGTTTGAAAAAACAGGAAAAGCCCTTAGTATTCACTAATCAAAATAGTATTTAATAGATTATCTGATTAAAGATATGATTACAAATATTTTTAATTACAAGATACTTATTTTTTAAATACCAGAAGTATTTTAGCAGAACTAGATCACTTGTCACTCTGCATATTAAATCAGCAATRGATCAATACTACAAAATACACAAAGAATTTAAAAGCCCTTGATTTTATKAACAGATTAACTACAGCTACATTTTCATTATTTTGAAATTCAATCTTTGTAAAAAACGGTTAAAAACTACCTAGCAAAATACCCTTGCTACTTTAAGGTGTAAAGGAGAAACACTGCAATAACAAAAGGCAAGTAATAACACTTTAAGGATAAAATGTATGTGTAGGCACCATATTGTSCACCCAACGGGCTATGGAACACTATTTTTCCTTCCACCCTTCCTAAAGCAAATAAAGGGAAATTTCTCTTTTCCACATCCAGAAAGTACTGATGCAACAGGATATTGGCGTATCACTGCACACCATTCAAACAGTTAATTAACAGGAAACCCCGGTAGCATTAATTAAATTAATAAAGTCACTGTCCACTTAGTTTATGATAATACATCCACTACCTTGCACAAAGGCCACATGGTATCTATTACATTTATAAAAGCCTATCCCTTAAATAGTTCTGCCCCAGAGAAACAAGTTAATTAGTAAATCATTTCAATGAAAAGCATTTATCTGCAATACTAGCATAAATAACATTAAATCATATTTAATGGACTGTAGTGGAAAAATTAATTTCTTCCATATAAATAATTTGTTAGAACATATGGAAAAATAAAAACACTGTTTAGTGTTTGAAATAAAAACAATCAAAGGTAATCCTTTAAAATTAGGGTTGAGATTAGTCTCTGCAAAGGATGCTGTTTAACTGAAACATCTGGTAGTGTTACGTTGAGAGACAGGCCTTTTTTAACTTTGGAAATGAGATTAGTAGATCAGTTATTTGTAAGTGTCCAAGTAATTTCTAATTATTTTATCTGGGTCACAGATAATCCGCTTTTACAGGGCTCCCACACTGACATCAGAGGATCACTGTTGAACTGATTATCCTGTTACCTTCTACCATACATGGGAAGACCGGATTTTCCTTTTGTACAGAGAAAGAGAAAGAAGTGGCTGATTGCTTTGGACAGGTGGCAGCCAAGAAAATAAAGAACAACACAGATCCTGAGAGGAAGAAAATCTCATATATGCAAAAGGTACTAGCTTTAAAAAAATGGTCAACAAAAGGACTACTTCTTAGCAGTGTCTGGTGCAATTTAAAAACTCACTAGATATGAACAAATATCAAAATAATCAGACAGGCCATTATTTATAAAACAGAATGCCATATTATTTATTACATGTTCTTTAGTAATGCCTTGTAGATAAAACATAACCCATATAAGAAAATTACAGCATAAACAGGAAAACTGGGGTTTATCATCATTTAACTCTTAATGTGGAAAACATACAGAAGTATTTTCTTAAAACTAAAATGGAGTAAGAGTGAGAGAAATGCAAATATCAGGACTAGTCTTCAAATAATATACACATGAGCATCCTGACAATTCCACCTTTTTTTAAAAGCCTGAAAAAACAGCTCTTTTTAAAAGAGCTCTGTACCTCCAACAACCGTACAGCAGCATCAGAAACAATCTGGGGCTGCTAAAAGAGACCTTTTTCAAAGTGAATTTGTTATTTCTTCTATGAATTACTGAATAAATAGTCTAGTTTTTTTTGGGGGGGGGGGTTGGTTTGCTTGCTTTGGCTGGTTTTGGCTCTTTTTTTGAGGAAAATAAACAACTGTTACACATGAAAATGAGAGAAAAATTCTTTAAAAACACATGTCAAGAAAATRCATCTTGAGAAAGCAAACAAGTCTCTGGGTACTATTTGTTTTACCTTCCCAATAAATTTTATTATTTCATATAATTACATGAAAAAAAAAGCAACTGGAAATAAAAACGAGTAACACAGATACATCCTTCTCAATATTKTCTTCTAGCTTAAGTGAAAAATACTCTTTTCTAGATAAACCTTGTATTTGTCACTGCAACACAATGTCATTAACATGTGTAGGCAGTTGTTACAGAAGACGGATTGTCTGTATTTTTTTTGCAGAAAATTTTAAAACTTTTGAAATGGACAAAGTGAAACTTTTACCATTGAATCTATAAACCATCACAGAAAAACACACCTCTACCTTCATGAAGTTTTAAAGTGCCTATGCTGGAGCTATCCTTGTTGTCATTTAGTGATTGAGGCCGAAGACCAATAATTGCTTGTGAAGTACAAGCAGCTAGAGGACGTCTGAAGCAAAGAGCAACAATTTTTAAAATTCTTACTCTCCAGAGGAGAGCAGAAGAGTTGCACTCTTCCAAGGTGCAACTGCCAAAGTTCTTTTTGGTATCGTCTTGTTTTACTAAAAAGTTTGCTTCTACTTTTCAAACAAGGTCATTTAAAAAATCATGCTGCCTGAGAATATAAGAGCACAGGCTCATTTGCAGTTAAGGAATATACAATTCAAAACTGCACTACAAGAAATGACAGGGAATAGAAGAGTGTTAAAGCAAATAATAATCATAGGACACAAGAAGGCCTTCAACATAAATWTACGATCATTTTGGAAATTACATCAGTGTTTATTTAATTCACAGGTGAAACCGATTTTTTTCACCCAGTTCTCTAAAAATTTGAACATTTTAAGCAAGAAGACTAATTGTGAAGATAAGGATGAGATTTTAGGAGGAGTATTTTCTTAAGAGCCTGAAAATTCCTAAACTAAGAATTTCTCCCTATTTCAGAGGCTTAAGAATAGAGAGAACAGTCTCTCTCCACTTCCAAAGTCTCCAAATAAAAYGTCCCCAAGAGCAAGGTAACGTACACTTTAGAGGAAGTGTTAAAATTCAGGATGATGACAAAATCAGAGGCAGATAGAGCTCGGGGAAAGCAACTGGAGAAGGAGGATGAAAGGAGCCATGTGCCCCTTCTGATGGAAGTGTGTTTCACATATGCTAGTTTCTAGGGAGAAAGCACTAATCCTGTATAGAGGCTACCTCAGCTGCTCCCCTCTTCATCGGAACAATTCATGTCAAAAGTTCCTCTAAGGACAGTTTTTGCCAACCAGCTGCTCTCCTCTCATTGTAGGAAGTCACCTCCTTTGCTCTTTGGCTTCCTGGACCTCCAAATGAGTTCTGAATAGCCTTGTGCTAATGATACCCTAGCAGTGACACCACAGTAAGAGGGGTGGTAAACGTACTSACAGAAATTACAGTGTAGTAGGTTACTTGGTCTATTTTTCACTTTATCAAGCAGTACAACCTCAAGAACATTCTCTCCCTAAGAGCCACATTTTAGTACACAAGTTACAAAGTTTTCATTTTTACCAGACAGCACATTTTTTCCAAGCATCGTGGTATCTGCTGAACACACATGAAGCAGGGTAACAGGAGAATGCATGTATATCCAGAATACATGCTTACTTTCCTCAAAACCTTTTCAAAAATTGATCTACTGCTATAATGCATGACAGTTATRCAATGATAGGCACAGATCAGTCAACTGTGCAACAAACCTGAATTTTGCAAAGTGCCAGCACACACAGCAGRATACTTAACCTAAACTTAATAACATGCTCCTTTGCTTTTCTGTTTTTAGCTACTGCCCCGTTCCAGAAAATCATGCGGGCGGATATCAGATATGTTCTTTCCATTATGCATTGAGTTAAACATTTTCTGACCCCTGAAAATATATATCAAAGAGAAGAAAATGGCAGTCCTATGAAAACCTATGAAAAAATTCTGCTCATTCTTATGGTTTCTCAATCTACCACTTACTTCAATTGTAGTAGAGTGTACCTCTGCTTCTAAAAATGTACACAAAGATCACATCATGCAAATTTATTCTACATATTATCTATCTTGGTGCTGCGACAAAAAGATAAACCTCTGTAAATATAAAGACCAAGAATCTGCATTTTTTTTAAGAAGCATGTCCAATATTCCTGGAAAAAAATGGGCCTTTATATTACTAAGATGAAAAAAWACTATTGGCTTCATTTCTGAAAAATCGTGAGGTGATGGTCAAGCAAGTTTATGTTAAGGAGAATCAGAAAGTCTTGTTACAAAAGGGTCAAAGTTCGATAAATCTTAGGTTTATCTTTCTTTCCAAAAATTTTTGCAGCATTTGAAATACAGGTAAAGAGTAATGTTAAGCACCAACAAACTGAACTTGCTGGACTCATTAAGCAATAGTGTGTATCTACTGAAYGAGCTTGATTGTCTCTACTGTTTAAAAATAATTTTCTTCCATGAGCTGCGGAATTAATCTCAGCTTATGTTAAACTGCAAGCAGAGGCACAGAGTACAAGCCTCAAAAATGTCTATCACCTCTTCTCCCACACAAGCAAAAATGTTGCTTTGCCTTTTTCAAAGGCCCATGCTCTTGTCCCTTGCACATATCTCCASGCAGCTTCAGCAATCACTGAAATTAATGCTTTCAAGAACAGCTATGGAACAACTATGATGACATGAACACTTTAACTGTGCATATCCATGCCTCCAAGCATCCCAAGTTTCTTTCCAATTAATTTTGTCTGCACTATTACACTTTAATGATTGTGTTCTGCTACTAAGTCTTGATCTACACCTTATACTAAGCTAAGTTTAATTCCATCATTAATTCATCAAAATTTAACATAGAGCTCATTTCAGATACCATTTGCTTAACTTACTGAAAGGTTAGATGCTGAACTGTAACTCCAGCACAGTACACAGCAGCAATGTCACTGCTTTTYACTGTTAATGGTTCATTGCTTCTACAGGACTTGAATGTCTTGCACACTCAATGTGCTCAGCTTCCGGTTGGCTATACCTGTTTCATTATTTCCCTATTCTATCAACAGGGACAGGCATGTCTTTGGGGASCCTGCAGAGAAACTACTAACTCACCTGCTGCCCTATCTACTTTTTCCAGTGGCTAGCCAAAGCAGTCAGTGTTTACGCAGGAAGCAAGTCCCCACACTACAATGCTGGCAATCAAAAATTGTTTGTACAGAGTTTCTGACACTACTTGCAAACTAAGCACAACCACACCAAACAGACTTGTGTTGTTTGAAGTCTGACTGGTTGCTGCCAAGCAGATTACCTCAAAATGACTGTACTGTTTATTCTTGCCAATTCTATATTTACAAAGARTGGAATTAAAAGACAGAAAACTACTGTGCTGCTGATTTGAAATACTCTATTAGGGGATGGACTAAGTCAACTACATTCCTCAATGAGTCAATGCAACASCATCCACATAGTGTGAATGAATTAGTGTTTGGAGACACATCAGTAATGGATTTCTACTTCCCCAGCAATCCCATCAAGCCTAAAAACTTGTCCATATGACAACAGCCTCTCTGCTACTGGGGGGAGAGGTAGGGTGCATCGAGAGGCCTTAAAGAAGATCTGTTCTTTTCAGAATCTGCCTCTCACAGATCATCCATATCCACAATTACTGTAGGATGTTTGTTTCACAAAGTTTGGCAAAGACAACAAGTGTCCAGGCATATTGCAGCTCAGCTATCATGATTTCAGTGGAAAAACTGGACTTGAAAATGCTATTAGCCACACCAGTTCCAGTGCAGTTGCCAGCTCTGTAAGTGAATAGGACGTACTTCTCAGTATATTATACAACTGACAGAGAAACAGAAGACTTTACAGCAGTTTATAGAGCACAGTGGCGGCAGCAGCCTGAAAGTGTTAAGGCTCAGGACAATGAAGTTACAACTGGGTATTCATGGCTGTTGCAGTGGCAGAGGACTTGGTATCCTGTGTCAGTACAGAAACATCCCAGCTTTCAGGTGTATCTGACAGAAACAGGTTCAGTCTCAGGTTTTATTTCGCATACAATAAGAGTATGTGAATGGATGCTGATGGTCACTGCTAAAATCTTCTAGCAGCACGCAGAAAAGAATGATAGACTYAGGGTTTGCCCCTTATTTTCTTCTSTATCATATCTGTGGTTTAGTGCAGTACTGATCACATGGATTTTCTCATCGTTTTAATATATATTCATTTAACAGAAACCAAAAGGACATTCRTATTTCAGTAGCTGAACAATTAGGCTCACTGAGTTTCTGTCTCTGTGTCTCCTGTTACTAGTCAACATTCACTAGTCAGCAAGTCACCATTTCAGCAAGTTAGCTACCACAGTGGTGGTTTAGAAAAACATCCCACCTCTAAACGATGCAGACATAAAGGAAGTGTGCCCACATTTGAGYAGGGGAGAGGAAACCTATCAGAAAAGCTAGAACAGAAATCAGGCACACGGTAAAGTTGGACCAAGGTAAATCTATTGACCTGGGAGTTGAGAGTAACTGCAGAAAGCGGTCTGGTATAGCAGCTGGGGAATGGCAATAATAATAGCATAGCTATCATCACAGAAAAAGCAAAAGACAGTAAATTTATATACAGGTAATACAGTAAAACCAAAAAGCAGTATTATTGCTTACTCTAACAGAAGTAAAATTTATACAGTATTTTTTTCCTTTATTCCATACAAAAGAATTACACAATACAGTTAAGAGGTTTCCCATTATGTACCTACAAAGGTTAATACCGTGCAAAGCTTCATAATTCCAAAATGAAATCTCTGGCAGATCTCAAACAGCTGTAGTCACAAAGATGCTGTCATCTTGTATGCTATTGTCTTTAAAAAAAAGCACGTCAGGCAAGACTATAGACTCTTTCAGCATGTGCAGATCCAGCTAGTGCATTCTCTCTGTAGTGTTGAACAASATTTTAAACATTCGTATGGATTCTCAACATAACTTTAAAGAATTTGCTGGCACTTATTAATTTCTCATGTATAGAAGAGGAAGTTACACCAAAATAAGCTTGTTTCTTGAATGTATTTATTACATTACCAAAATCATTTAACTGGGTAATTTTTCCATGCAGAAGATTTTTTTTCTGTATCTCTAAATACAGAMTATGTATCTGGACTGTAAACTGTACATGATTACAGTCCACAGTTCAGCARCTAAAGAGGTGAACATAAGCATATTGATCAAAATACTTAACAAGAAGGCTGTGTTCTCAGAATGTGTGACTTCTCAGTGGGCCTCATTGCCATGTGGTTTTGAGTTTAGAATAAAAATCAAAACACCCAACCACGTACCTTATACACTGCACAATTCCAGGACAATGTATGAATTTATTTACTAATACAAATCAGGAAACTGACYTGATAGATGGAATTATGAGACACTTGTTTGTTAGAATGCTTCTTAAGATGTCTCTGGTGTCAAGAGGCTTGATAGACCACRTATCAAATAAGTGACTCAAAGTGCAAGTGGTTTTCCGGTCTTACCTTAAAAAAGGGAAGACCTTCTTCTTTTCTGCTCTGACCAATTGTACTGAAAATAAAACTAATACATACGTCTAARATACTTACAGTGAAAATACCCATTAGCTGACTGTAAAAGAGTCGACTTATTCCACCTAATATTATTAGACCCATGAAGGCAGATATTCTTAGGAGAGCAAGTTCATGTCTAAATACAAACACGTCCTAGAACAAGACAGAAAGAAGAAAGACACTTTAGCAGTTACAAATTATTAAAGTCTTTGAACCAAGTGGAAATATTAGATAAAAGGCGTAAGAGGTGCTTTTATCTTAAAACTGAAGGCAAATATTGGATTTTGAGCTACATTGCATATCATTGATATATTTATTTATGTATTAAATGTGGCAACCAATAATCTTTTATTTATACATGTTAACAGTTCGGGTTTTATTTTGCCAGACTTAAAARAACTCCTTCAAGTATTTAAGATTTTGGGAATAGATCAAGCTCAAATGGGTTATTTCTGAATCTTCCATCTCAAACTSTGACAGATTGCTACACATAAGCTATGTAAGATAGGAAAACTACTCCATTAAATGGTCTGATTTATTAAAACTTTTATACCTCGGCTACCAGGCACAGCACATTTCATTCTTACATCACATATTCTAGAAGCAAGCTTGACTCTTGAAGATTGTACCTAAAAAGTCCAAGTATCTGTACAATCTCTGGATTTTTCTCACTGTAGTACTGTCTATTATCCAACAGAAACTTTGGATCTCCACCTTTTAAATTTTAGCCTTGAGTGGATTCCTGTAACTTTGGATTGGGGCGCACAGTAAAGGTGCTACAGGGTACGAAAGAATATGTAGGTATTTGATCAGCTACTTTGGAAAGCCTACATTGTTCGCACCCAGCAGAAAATATGAAAAGCATTAGAGAGTGTTACACATCTTCAAATGACAGAGCATCTTATTTTTATCACAAAAGAGCATTTTAAAGTGACAGTTACGTTAGGTGTACTGTGAGTTTAGACCCCACCTCTTATTTGTAAGTCACAATTATGTTCTCAAGGCTGTCTTTTGAATACACACATCTGGTTCTCCACTTACAAAAGCTGGATCATGGAAGGAAAGTATTAAAATCTTTCAAGTAAACTTTAAGTTCCAACAGAATACAGAAGAGAAATGAACAAAAAAACAAAACAAAAAAACACACAACACTGCTTACGTTCAACCACTAGGACTTGAGGCAGAGGGATTCTCAGACACTGGATTTTAATTAAACAGAAAAYAGCTAAAACAAATTATGTTTAGAAGAAAAAATCTGATTTTTCTTTAAAATTATTTCCATGAAGGTTCAAAATATACATCCAGGAAAAGAAACCTTTAGACWGCCTACTAAAGTCGTGAAAAAAGTCAGTATTTAATGAACAAGTAGAAATCACTAGCTAAGCAGCTAAAACAAAAAACAATCTCCAAGCCTTTTCTAAACTACTGTAATGGTGTATTCCCTCTCTTCCTCCCTTGCTAATATTGGCCTTTCTTGCCACTGTAGAAAATACATTAATTTCCATTTTTTTAACTCTTCTTACTTAATGAGCTAGTTCAAAGACAGATCAATTCAAAATAAATGACTAATACTATTCTTTATTTCCCCTTCCATTAGCTAAGTAAAGCTTTAAAGAAAAGCAAGGTAAGACAGTTCTACAACTTCTACTAGTTGTACAATACTTCCTCTTCATACCTTCACAGGTATGTTTTATTACATCAGAAATGTTTTAATGTCAAGCTCAACTTCACAGAACAAAGTTAAATGCAAGGGAAGAGTACCAACAGCAAAGCTACATTCTGAATCTAACATCACACTCTMCCATTAGCACCCCCTACAACACTCATTTACAAAAACTCCTTCTCCTGAACATCAGCTTGAAAAAAATACATCACCCAACACATGACTRAAGAAAATCCTAGCATACAGAAGAAAGGCTGCATTTTCATCTGACTCTTTTAACCCAGATTAAACTAAAGGTCCAAAAAAGGATAGACCTTTCACATTAAAGATCACAGAATCATAGAATCAMAGAATGGTTTAGGTTGGAAAGGACCTTAAAGATCACATAGTCCTAACACACCTGCTGTGGAGAGGGACACCTTTCACTACACAGGTTTTTCAGAGCGTCGTCAAATCTGGCCTCCAACGCTTCAGGATGGGGCATCAATAAATTCCCTGGGCAATTTCTTCCAGTGACTCCCTAGCCTCTGAGTAAAAAATTTCTCCCTAATATATAACCCAAAACCCACTCTCTTTCAGTTTGAGGCTACTCCCCCTAGTCCTGTCACTACATGCTCCTGTAAATAGATGCTCTCCATCTTTCTTGATTCTCCTCAAGAATGGAAGGTAATGGAAGCCTTTCCTTTTCCAGGCTGAAAAAAACCAATTCCCAGAAYAACAGAATTGCTAGGGCTGAAGGGAACCTCTGGAGATCAGCCAGTCCAAGCCCCCTGCCAAGGCAGGCTCACCCAGAGCAAGTGACACAAGAATGTGTCCAGGTGGATTTTCAGCATGTCCAGAGAGGGAGACTCCACAACCTTCCCAGGCAGCCTGTTCAGTGCTCTGCCACCCTCAGTGTAAAGGAGGCTACAAGGGCACTGCCAGCTCATGGACAGCTTGTGATCCACCAAGAGCCCCAGSTCCTTCTCTGCAGAGCTGCTCTGCAGGAGCTCAGCCCCAGCCCGTGCTGGCCCTTGGGGCTGTTCCTCCCCAGCTGCAGGACCCCACACCTGCCCTTGTTGAACCCCATTAGGTTTCCCTCTGCCCAACCCTCCAGCTGATCAAAGTGCCATGGAATGGCAGCACAGCCTTCAGGTGGATCAGCCACTCCCCCAGTTTAGTGTCACCAGCAAACCTGCTGAGGGCACGTTTGATCCCTTTCTCCAGGTCATTGATAAACAAGGTGAATATTGGAGAGTGGACCCAGAGCTGATCCCTTGGGAACACCACTGACTGCAGRCCTCCAGCTGKACTCTGYTCCACTGAMTGTGACCCTCTGAGCTCTGCCTTCAGCCAGGTCTKGATGCACCGCAGGGTCTGTTCATGTGACCCACATTTCCTTTTACTTTTTCTTGTCATCCTTGATACTCAATTCCAAGGGGCCTTGACCTTCCTTGTTGCASCCTTGCATTCCTTGTCAATATTCCTATATTCCTGTCATATGGCCTCTCTTTTTCCACACCAAATGTCAATGTCCCTAAGCAATTATGAACTGAAAATCAATACAGGGCATTCAAATCTGTGCAGACAGAACAGCATATTGCTGCAGAAAAMTGAAGTATACACACTAAGTGAGTGGTTTGGTAATCAAACCTTATGACAACAACTATTTTCACAATTTTTCATTTTAACAGAAWTACTTAACTCCACAAAAACTGAAGAAAAGACCATTTGAAAAATCCATTAAAATCACAGTAATTCTGTATTTAGGATGTTGCAGCTTTGCATAGAAGCTCAACACAATATGGTTTTATTATTCCTTCTTAGGACTGACAAAAACTTTTATTTCACCTAAGAAAACCAATGAAAATTATAATCACTCAAAGCTGGTCAATAATTAACCAATCCCTCTTTCAATGTATTTTGAACAGCTCCTCCTGCTCAAACACCCTTTAGGAATCACAGTTTCAGTGTGGTGTCAGTACTGACACAGAGTGATTTTGGAGTTTGGGGTGCAGACCATTCTTGCTAGCAGAAAGAACCACACAGACTGAGCCACAAACCATACACACAGATTATTTGTCATCACCAATGCATGAACCCTCAGCTCTCATGGCACAACAGGGTTTTGTACCACAGCAGCTTTTTTCTAGATTGCAATGGGTCTAGCTCCATTTTAAGATCATTGCTTACAATTCAACTTTGTTTTTGCCCCACTAAAGGAACTAAAAAAGCACAAAAAAAAGAAACAGGTCTCTTCCATGTGCATTATTTTGTTACTATTTTCAAGGACATATAGTATTCCTGTGAAGCAGCACACTGTACTGAGGACAGAGCTTTCAGCAGGAAACACAGGACTATTTTATGTGTTACAGAAGAGACCATGTTCTGGATACTTCACCTTTCTCTTGGGGAAGAATATCTTATATAGCACATGTTAACCTGCATGTCTGTGCTTTGTTGTGTCTGATGTCTGTCCCAGGCTGRTGATGAAGTCAGTCTATCAACTTGGCTATCACAAAAAGCGTAGAATACAAAAGAAAGCCAGGCTTTCCAGAAAGCATACTGAAAAAATACAGATTTCAGGTTTTGTAGGAAGAAASAGGAAGGACTTCATTCAATATTCATGTACTGTCCTTATAACTATACTTGTAGGAGAGCAGGGTTGGGTTGGTTCTCCAGAACACTGAGAACAAAAATTTTGATGCTTTTATTTTTAAAAAAACTCTCCCATTCTGTACATAGTTTTGTGATTCTAAGAGAAAAGGCTTCCTTTAGATTCTCTTTAYAATATAAATAGACTTTGGATGACACACATTTCCAGATTTTAATTAATATTATCCAATGCATAATATTGACATTAATATTACTGARAAAAAAATCCTTGCCCAAAGTCAAATATGATGATTGGTAATTGCAGCAACAGGAACAAAACAAAATTAAGCATGAGCCAAGGGGCCTAGGTTTCTGTGTGTCAGGAGATTTTGCTATGACAACTATTGTAGCAACATTTCTAAAAAACAGAATGTATCAGCAGAATTTCTTTTGCTTAAAAGATTAAAAGCCTTCTATAAATGAGGTAAAATATACTGCCAAAGCATTTACTTCTTCAATCTGACCAGCTGTATCTAGAGTCTGTGCCAGCATAGCCATGGAGACAGCAACTATGTAGTGATGAGAAGTCTAGTATTTATTCTTCTCATCTCACTATTCACAAGATTGACTACTTCCTAAAAGATATRGGCTTTCTGACACTGACATTTTAAAATTAAGAGGTAAAATTAAGAATATTCCTGTKTTAGCTTCTGAAAATCACCAAAGCTTGCAGAAGAACTGAATATGCTGTTTTTATTAGAACTATGTATTTTTCTTGTGCTATCATTGCACAGTAAATTTAATTACCACGTCCTTTATTTCCAGTAGTAATTGCACTCCTCCTGCTGGACAAACAGAGGCAACAACCACAATCCATCTTTTTGGCAGGATATCAGTTGCAGGAACCAAGAACACTATGAAGCAATTCTCTACAGTACGACRTAAAGCTGAAAGATTGCATCTCTACATAAACTATTTCCTCTATTACCGTTAAAGCTATGACCTTAACTAGGTATTTTTAAATAAAAAATTCTAGGGTTTTCTTTCTTGACCCTTWCAAAATAAAAACACAAGTTTTAATTCAGAAAGAAATTCTAACATGCTGATCAAATTTTCACAATGCATTAATCAGAACTGTAATAAAATTATTATTTCACAACAGCACTAGAAGCAATTTTAATTCTACAGCTTCTGTGTWATGTACTACTTTATGTCCAAAGAATAAAAATGTAAATGAAGGCACATTGCCAAAATATTCACAGTATTTTTAATGAGCAACAATAAGCTTATTCCAGATGGCTGTTTAGAAAAAAAATTATCCAGTTCTTTGAATCTGTGCTAAACACTAGTCCCTCTCAATTCAGAAAATGTAGCTCAAAAAAAAAGCTCTCAGTTACAGCAAAATTTCAACAAAGAATACTATTTTGTGAAAGGCTAAAGGTACTGCACTCCTTGGAATGCTGTGGTACTTCCGTTTCAATTGATACRTGAAGATAAAAACAATCTTGCAAGATGTTTGCCTAAAACCCTAACTTACTACGCCAATCTTCTCACTGGTCCTATTCATTTGGTGTCAAAAATTCATAGTTCTGAGAAATTATTCCATGGCACAAAGCTCTGTGGCACTACATCCTTAGCAACATTTCAAAAAATCAGCTTCATGAGACTCTGGTGTCATCTTCCAGGCAGATATATTGACTAGGCATGCCAACAAACTATTTTTAATTTCCCTGCTTCAGTTTGTGCCCTCCAATTCTGCAGCTGAAAAACTGAGAAAGCTAAATATTATTCAGTGTTACACTATCAGACCAGATCTGCTGTGTCTACTGTTTTCCTATATCATATAAACATATTTTTCTCTCTGGGGCATAGCATACTGTATACTCCAACACAGATGCACTTTTTAAAAGAGTGTCACATGAAGTGCCCACATATGCAAATTGTTTAAGCCAAAAAAACAACAGGCAAGACTAAACAAAGTAYTCAAATTACTTTCACAACTCTCTATAAACTTAGGCAACCAAACACAGGAACCTGATCCACTCTTCAGGCAAACATATTAAAATGGGTTTAAATAATTGTTGCACATGAATTGTGCCCCCTAACCTGCCATCTGTCAAATGGTAGATATTAAAAGCAGGCCTCTCTCCAAAAGACTTCAAATGAATCCAGTTATACCAGCAAGAACAACTTTTATACATATTCATACTCATTTTATGAACTGTCATCATTAATAACTATTTATTATTACCTGTTTAGAAATTGTAAAACATCTGAGGTGAACATGATTTCCCTTTCCCTCTCTTGAACAGACCACCTCCAAGCACATGATTTGGTTACCTTTCATACTCYTTTTAAAAAGCAAGACTAATGGACAGAACTTTGATTCGTTACCTAACACAGTGCAACTACAAAAAGTCATAGCATTCAGGGAACTCTCACAATAAAAAGGAAATACTCTAACATGAGTACAATTAGAAGCTTATAAATCTGTTTCAGTGCTTACAGAAAGATGCTCCAAGTAGGCAACAAATTATGTTCTGTTTTGTATTTCTAGAGTCCCTTTAATGATTTAAATGAAAATATTGATATAAATGGGAAAAAAATAATTAAAATCCTTTAGAATACATGTTTTTTTTAAGGAAGATTTACAAAATACTCAATTTTAAGACATTTCATATAACAGAAAGTTGGTATCTATGAATTTGAATATGGCACTGTTACCAGTTTTGGATTATCCAAGAATACATTCTTCCCACATTTTCAGCTCTCSTTTGCCAGATCATCTTCACTTGTACTTTTAGGGAAACATCACATGTACTTGAGACTGATACAGGACTTAATAAGAAGCTTGGAAGACTGCCCCATCCTTTTCCAGAAGTACAACTTTTCACAAAGCAAAATTCTTATATAATGTAGGACAAAAAAAATCATATGACCAACTTCAGTTGTTCAAACAAATGGAAAATGGGACTTGCCTCACCTACAATGAAAGGTCAGGCTCCAGCAGCCTTGAAAGATGACTATGACATCACCAGTAGGGTGTATGCCGGGGTGYTATATCAACACAGAATTAAAAAATCTGATGCACCTCAGTACTTAGAAAAAGCCTCAACAAAATTGAGAGTGCACTACCAATATTCAAGATGATCTTACTCTCCATTTACAACACCTGCAATGTTAACTAATTTTGAATATTAATACAAGTTTTAAACTTGTTTTCTAGGTTTTTCTCCTCAGTGCACTTGTTTCGTTATATTCCAATACAAACATAAAGCTCATTTCAGATTTTGGACAGAAGTTTTTATGCTTCRTCATGAGCAAGATGGCATAACAATTTTCTTATAGAGAAAGAGTTCTAGCTTTGCTGTTCTGGCACTTTCAAGCACTGAGCAACTTTCAAGTAAACCTCTTTAGTATTCTCAATATTATAGATATTAGTTATAAATGAGCACCAGACACAGCAACTTTACAATGTAAATATTATAATGGAAGAAATTCCTTAATTTTTTACTCTACTCCAATCTGTAAGTCCATTTTCTCTGTGTGTTCAACTGCATTTAACTGATGGTAAGATGTGGAAATACCATACCTGTTTACATACAGTCCACATAAAACAAACCAAACTTAATTATCCCTTAACCCACAAAACATTTCCAAAGCAACACAAAATACTGCTACAAAACCAATATATATTTCCCCCCTTGCAGAATTATCATGTTTTTCTCATTTCTTTCTGGCAATATCAACTTTTTAAAAYGGGATATTAGAACAGATACTCTGCATAAATCCACTTCAGAGAAAGTAAAAGAAAATTTGAATACATGCTTTGAATAGCAGTTACCTTACCTCTTCCCAATACTCACAATCACTTCCAAAGACACCTGATTCTGTGCTTCWTTCCTAGATTTCTAAGAAAACTAGTGTTGTGTTTTTAACACACAGAAAYCATATGCCCTTTCAGAAAAATATTGTTACTTACCATAAATCAGTTTGCTTACTTAATAACATACATCTGTGTTCATTGTCAACAACYGAGCCACCACTACTAGAAACACATAGTAACTAGATGCTGAAACAAATTACAGTGCAATACCATTTGTTTGCTTCATAGAGACAACAGGTTCTTACCCAGTTTTCTTTTTTCAGAGGCAAAAAGTAGTAGTAATGGCAGAAATCAAGTATCAGCGTATAGGAGCTAAGGATCTGGGTGTAGAAACAGAGTTGTAAAAACAGCCAGTGATTGTCTTCACCAACACAATTATTAATCCTGCAGAGAAACAAAGTGTGTGTGTGTCTATAAAAACAAAAATACAAACACTTTTAACTCCAAAGTTATGACCCTTTGAACAGAAGACTTTATGACTACTTATGGAGCAAACATAAGAACTGCTGGATCCCCTGTTCCACCACCTAAAGTGTAGCCTACACTACTGAGATCCCTGCTTGGAACAGGAGGCAACCACATTTCTCTGTATTTTCATATAGTAAAAATATTCCTGCAACTCTAAGTAAAATTCTGGCAATAAAATTTCACAGTATTATCTTCTGCAGCTCGACACAGTCCACAGGTTGTGAACCACAAAGAGTCCAAACACTGGAAATATAAGCAAATGTTTTTAAACAAATATGATCACAGGCCACCTTGATAAAAAAGAAATATGACTTTGAAATTAACCAAAGGCACAGAAGACAATACAGGCATCCCTATTCAGAAACTCTTTCTGCATACTCCAACATGAAGGAGTAAAGRAAACACAAGGATTCTAGCTATATTAAGAACAAGATTAAAAGAACTTTGAAATTGAGGTATAGTCTGCTTCACAGAAGTTATATGGATGCAATGTTATACGAGCATTGGCACAGACATCAGTACCAAGCTAAGCCAGAATGAYAGAAGCACTAGTACTATTTTTTGAAGTAGCAAAAACTTGACAAAAAAGATAGTTTGAAGAATAGTTAAATCAACATAAGGGGATCCTGATGTCAATTCTGCCCTCTGCAGGTTGTCTTGCTAGAAGCGATACCTCAGAACTTTCAGAAATTTTTTTTTTTCATCCACTCTGTTTTTTTTCCCTACTGCATTTTAGGGGTAGACATATGAAAGTCCAAATTTGTTATTTCCCCACTCTAAATGCCTAAATGATTAAGCATCACTGGGAGAAAAGTAAGATTAATGAGGAGCAGTCAAGACCACAAAGTCCTAAATGATTCATTAAAACAGCAGTAGATTAGCAAAAGAAACATCCTGGTTTTACCATGGACAGTGGTGATCCATCCTCCTCACACAATGTCCACAGCGACTGCAGTGGTGTGAACGCTTTGGTCTCATCATATTACATTTGTTACATAACTCCCAATATTCTCGTTCTAGGTGAAAATATAAAGACACATTAGAGAGATTTAAAACTCAGTAACGTATGCTCATAATAAATCTGTAAGCTCATGATTCTAATTAAAAAAAAAATCTTACTCTGATTTGAATAAATAAATACCACATAAATTTTTTTTCCCACTGTGACCTTAATTAAACTGGAAGTATCACTGCTATTCTATGCCAGTTTCCTTCTCTAAAACCTTTTCTCTTCCCATAGATTTCTACAAAGTAATTATTATAGTACAAAAGCCATCACTCAAACAAGGAAGACTGTAACTCAGTTATTTTGTCACACTTCTACTGTGAAAAAAATGATTAGCTAGACAGAATTATGATGTAACCTCCCTGCCATTGCAGAACCTCCTGAGGAAATACTCCTGCTGCTAGCTAACTAAAATAGGACACACAATGAACACTTCAAGACCATCTTCCATCTCAAAGYATTTTAAGACATGCATCTCACTGTATGCAATTTTTGCACATAAGGCAATATAAAGCAGATAGAGAATAGGCTTGTACTTACAAATATACAGTGTTTTTAAATGAGATTAAATCTCACTAATGTGAGATTCTTTAAAAGCTGATCTCTGGAGACACTGAGTAGCTGAAAGTATAAGGAGCTACTATTTTTCTCTTTAGTTATTATTTATCTCAAACTGCACCATCCAAATCAGATGAGTTTTTTGAAAACGAAAATTCAAATTGTATGTTCAAAAATTTCATCTTTACATGGGAAACAAGATTAACACCAAATTATTTGCAGTCACAAAAGCATGCATTTTTCATCTTTAAGGAAAACAGGTGGACAACTGAGAAACTTAAATCCTTCAACTGGTCAGCTTTGTTTCTACCTAAATTGACTTTTTCTGACGCACAGACACTTCTCAAATCTCATGGGTAGAGGAAAAAAAAAAAAAAAGGAAGAAAACCTTAATATTTACAGTAGGGCATTCTGAAATTTTATACCATAAAACACTGTCCCTATGTAAACAAAATTAAGTTATATTTAGCACTGGTGAGCCACCTGCAGGCTGCTCTAATCTGGTCTTTTTTGTTGTAAAATAACATTTGGACACTGGAAGTAAAGAAGCCTAATACATGAGATCATTAAACTAGTAATAACAGATGGAAACTGACTTACAATCTGTTCCCATAAAACCAGTGTCACATAGGTGTCACTCACTAATAGGGTAGCTACCAGCAGAGTTCACAAACACCCCAACTCATTTTCTAATACAATTTATACTATGCAAAAATGTATCCTCCTGTCAACCTAGAGAATACCAGAGAACTGAAGCTTTACTTCCAAAACCACAAAATCCCTGCTATAGCACACATCAAATCAAAATATCAAAGCCATGATCTAACCTAAATGTTTCACCTTCAGAAGTATCTACAAAGTATCACTGCCCTATGGCCTGAATGGAGCATGCAAAAGGTGGAGAGCTATTCAAAGAGACACCTTAAATTAGAAAGAAACATTTGTGTACAAAGGGAATTCACACTGGTCCTGCTGTTTTGAAGGTAAATAAATATTCCAATATAAATGTAACTGTCTGTAACTGTAGCTAGTGTCTTCATCGTCCAGGTTGCAAAATCTATTTTGCTCATGCAGCAAAAATTCTAACTCCAGAACCCAAGTCAGAGACTTCCATTTTACTGGATCAAAGGRTCAGGTGCCAGGAGCAGAAGGAACACTGGCATATTTCTGCAATTAGTGTTCAGCTCAACACAGCTGAATCCCAGGGAGACACAGCTATCAGCCTTTCTACTATCAGCTACCTGCTTCATGCATGCAATAACATCAGCATTAAGGCTAAAAAGATCATGTTTCCACATCAACTTAGATTTTCACTATCAGGAAGAGAGACCACAATTGCATTCTGGGCATCCACCACACCTCAAAACAAGGCGGAAGTATCCATTCTTAGCACATGAAACACATTTTCTTCAGGAAGTGATATTTGTTAATGTGATAAAGTTCATGCTGTTTAACAGCCCYACTCCATTCCAAGCTGCTATGTAAAAGCTCTATGTATTAGACAATAGCATCCAACAGCTCATAAAAATACTGTCWTTCTCTGTGGAGAAACACTTGGGTTTTAAATTTCCTCCAAATTCTGGAGCACCGGATACCATACAGGAATTGTGGAATAAATTTACAAAGTTAGAAAATTGCCCCATTAAGCTACTACTCCATAGAAACGCAGTGTAATCAGCACCATGGGGGTTTTTTGTTTTTTGKTTTTTTTTTTAACAGCCCATATAAACATAAGATAYTGGGAAAAAAGCATAAAAAACACACAGGTAAAATCCAGCAAAGGACATCTTCCACCACCATTTTAAACATTATACAAATTTACTTAGTCAAAACTAACCAGCCATCTCTAAATATTTTTCACTAAATATTATCAAGCTAGTAGTATATGCAGTATGTTTGAAAGTCTAGAATGAAAAAAATKCTTCCCATGGAAAAATTTCCTAGCAGAAGGTCCTACATAACTGAATTTTCTGGTGGAATACACATTTTAAAAAAAAAGAAGTTTTGAGACTACACACGGAAAAGTGCTAGAAACTTAAAAACAGTAACATACTAACGTCATTCAGCAGGGACAGCTCATGGTTTCCATTAAATCTCACAAAGACAAATTTATTCCCCTAATTATTTCCAGGATATTAAAATAAATTTCCTTCAAATATATGGAAAAAACTTAATGTACCTGTGATTGGTATCTTTGGATTTTCAGGCAGCTTTCCTGGATCTGCTACTGAGGCTCTAAATAATGAAGCTATACAAAACAATGAGCAGAAGTAATAACCTAAAAAAAAAAAAAAATAAACACTTGTTAGTCTTTTTCAGATATTCAAAGTGTACTACATCAAAAACACAGATAGTCCAGCACTGAGCTGGAAAATATTYAGCCTTCTCATTCAATTCCAGATCTATTTTTGACAGGAAGTATGCAACACTAAGTTTCATCATTAGAGAGGAAAAAGTAGTAAGCAGTTCTTATAGCACCAGCAGATGCTATGCCCATACTACAGTTTTTAAGTAGTTCCTCCACTGTCTTATCAAACAATTCCACACCTCAAAGCCTCCGTATGAAATATTTTCCCAGTAGTGCATCTACACTTTGAAATTTGTTCCAGCCACAATTCAAGCCTTTTCCCCAGCAAACCTAACAGCGTAACTCATATGAGCTGACTTATCCAGGGATATATGGCAAAACTAGCAATATTTAGTTTGCTGCCAGTCATCAGTACTATYACCCCAAATTCTGACAGGCCCTGAGAGACGTGGACCTGAAATCCTGTCAACAAATTCTGAGTATAGGACCTGAAAGCCACATTCAGGCTTTTCACCAGTTTCCACAACAGCAATTTCTACCACGACAACTTTGAAATGAAGTGTCTCAGCTTCTCAGAACACAAAACTATAGGATATGTCCCAATGCTCTTATCCTTCATCTTACCTTTTGTCTTTATCTTTCCCCCGAGTTTTAATTTTCTGACCTTTCTCATGTACGTTGAGACACTAATTTATCAGCAGAAAAGTGTTAAATTACTTACACAAAACTGCCACAACGGATATATTTCCCTCTTCATAATGAGGAAAAAGGATGACCTTTGGAATGAAGATTGTATTGTAAAGCCAGACGAAGATAATTAGGCCCATGCAGCACCAACCCTGAGGGTCAACCACAAAGTGAATTCGTTGCCCCATTGAACACAAACAGGTAAGAAATTGTCACGACCCAGGAAGAAAAGATAATCCTAAAGAGATAAATAAAAAGTTATTTTTTTTAAAAAAAGTAAATTAGCATAGTGCAACCTACAAGGCTAATACATTTGGATTCATACATTCAAATAAGAAAGGAAAAAACTGTCAGCTATTGATTGAAGCAATCACATAAAAACTTAGAAACATTTCACATACATTTTTCGAGCACCAGGTAGGAAAACATTTTCTGATTCCATTAATTAGTTATATCTGGCTAAAGAGTAACATTTATCACCACAATGCAAGTAAAACCATTACTTGGGAAAAGTTGTTACGTAATAGGTAAAGCAAGTGACTGTCAATCAGGTGGCAGCCGCAAAGCATGCAGATACTAAAGTCTTCCTTCAAAGTAAAAAGACTTCAAAGCAAATAATATAGGGAATTATTTATGTGATACAAAGATGCACCCCACTATTATAGTCTCCCCCAACATTTCACATGATGGTGTTCTTAAAGTTTTTGTTAAAATAGCCAAAAGCTGCACTAAGAATTTGTTTTTCCTTTCTTAAAAAACCTCCTTCATGACATTCATAGCAAAGCAAGAGATAAAACAATCACTACTGTAACATCTTTTATGTAGATAATTAAAAATACCAGACAATAGTATATTTCTATTAATCACATTTAAAACATCAAGATTTCCATTCTTACATTCTGGTGTGCTGGCTTCTTTTATATTTTAGACTAAAGAAAGCCCACCAAGTCCTACCATGTTAACTTCTCAGCTTCATAAACTGATCTCCATAACAACAGAACATTAAGTCCTAACCACTATTCAGCAAAACTTTCAAGGGAGGGATTATTACTGTTATATTTTTTTGTCAGGCCACTTTCATACACATATTTTAATACAGCAATTTAATACTGCAATTAATATTTATATTTAATACACACATAAATCCCAATTTACTCTCCCACCCATTAGCTTTCCCAGTTACTGGATTGCAGAAATCTTGTCCATTTCAGATGGATTTCTTTCCATTCCTTTCAGCTTATACTTGTGCTATTGAAATTTTGTTTATCAGTCAGAGATCCCTCTTTCCGAGATTCTGCTTACTTTTTTCACATTTGACTGTCCTCAATCGCATTCACAATTTCTTAATATTTTTCATAAATTTCATTGCCTTTTCTTCTTTTTCTAGATCTCTAATCAAAATCAGACCCAAACAAACTGTCATTTTTCCACATTTCTCCTTTGCATTATTTATTATTATTATTTAGCGAACCCTTTGTTCGCTATCTTCTAATGTGGCACTGCTCCCATTTAACTACAGCAAAGTAATATGTTTATTCTTATACTAACAATACATCAAATTTCCTAACATGTGGTTTAAGAACAGTGTTGTATACTGAATAAAGCTGCTAGCTGCCGCGCTGCTAAAGCTGTTTTTAAGTTCATGATCATCAAAAAACCTATTTAGGCCTATAATCTCTCTTAATTTGTAGCACGTATGCACCACCAGCCATTACATAGTGTATGGTATTAATACACTACACACGTATGTACCGTATCTAAACGTAAAATGACATGGTATTACACTCCTGAATCTGCCAGTTCTTAATGTGTCTCTGTCGTAAGCTAGCTCTGGCAACCACCAGAGAAAAACAACAATTTTTTTTAGAACAAAAATCCATTTACAGCCTTCTAAATGTGCACTGATGAAGGATGTCTGATGAGCAGACAAGTTGTGGGAGGTGAGGAGACCGCACAAMATCAGGGATGCTGAAAAGGAGATAGACCTTTTCCCACTAAGTTCCTGCAGCCACAGGAACCCCCGCTGCACTGAGGAGAAGCAGACAGTGCCTCAGCTTGTCAAGCTGGACAGGGAGATGCAGAGTACAGTGAAGTCTGGGAGCCTGTGAGCTCCAGCATCAGGGGGATGGTTCCTGCTCCACCTGCACCTCTTATCTAGAGAGCAGGTTCTGGCAGCAGACATGGACAGGAAGCTCTGTCCCAGAAAGCCTCTGAGCCATCTGTGCCTGAGTCCTGTGGCAGTATGGCAAGGATGGTGTAAGGAACATTTGTGGGAAACTCCCTGCTTCAGGGACAAAGAACGCCTCTGCAGCCTAACCTGTCACCTGGCAAAGGATGCTGCTTGGCGGGGGCTTGGATCCCAGATACCATGGACAGGCTCTTTCTGAGACTGATAGCAGTCTGGCGCTTAGACTCTCACCCTCATCTGCTCTTCCATTCAGGCACCAAGGGAGACCTGGAGCATAYCAAGCATGACTACACAGCTCACAGGGTGTTGGCCAAGGCCTGGTAGCCAAGACACCTGGTAGCCTTGTGTCTTGTTCATCCTGCTGGTGAAGGGAGGGYTTGAGAGGAGCAGAAAGATCCTGCAGATGAATTAGTGGCTGTGCAGCTTTCATATCCATAGAACTCACTATGAAGATCAAGAACTGAGGGCAAAGCGGAGCAGGATCCACACGAAATTACATGGGGTAAAAGCATCTTTGCCAAGACTAATCTGCTCAGAGAAGGCTTAAACTACGAATGATGATAGAGGAAGGTGGTGACCTCTGAATAAGCAAGAAAGTGGTGGTGAGGGTTTGCAAGCAAAAGATGCAAAATTGCATGTACAACAGAGRTCTTATAATCAACCAAACCAAGATCAAGTGGGGCTGCACCAACTGTGTGCAGACAACTGATACAGGAACACCACTTAGGTGCACTAGGAGGAGGTAGGAACACCGAAGTCTTCRTGGAGGTTAACCTGATGAGGGATATGAAGTTCCAAGAGAAGTCTTTGTACAGGTAAATGAACAGCATAAGGAAGGCTAAAGGAAATGCCAGCCTTTACAYAAAAAAAAATCAAAGCATCTTGTTTACCTTGTTCTTTATGGGTAACACCTGCCTTCTGGAATCCCAGTTCCCTAAGACCAGTGGGAGAGTCTACAGAACAAAAGACTTACTCTAAGTCAAGGACGATCAGATTAAGAAATTTTTGAGTAAACTGGACCTAACACTTMCATGGAACCTCCTGAGATGCTAACCTGAGTGCTAAGAGAGCTGACCTTGTCACTGTGAGGTTGCTGTCAATTATGTTCGAATGTTTCACACTACGGCTAACATTCCAGAGAGCTCAAAAAAACAAATGTCAACCCTGTTTTCAAAGACAAGAAGGCGGAGCCAGGCAACTACAGGCCTACTAGCCACACCCTGTTCCCTGGGAAGTTTAAGGAAATGATCATGGAAACTACTTTCAAATGCATGAAGGACAAGAAGGTGACTGGCAGTTATCACCATGAATTTAAAATGGAAAATCATGCAGACTGAAAGAAACATAGAGCCCAAAAAAACAAATGTAGCCTGAAACATTGCTGACCACTGAGGAATAGATCTGTTTTCCATCTCACCAGAGAGGCAGATTCCATTACTTCACAGCACTTCCTCAGAATGGCAAATAACAGCTCAGCAAACAAAACAGAGAGATAAAATTACTTAAATCCTTGCTTCTGAGTGACCTACTAGTATGATGTGTGAGCAATGAGCAATGAGAGAGACTCAACAGAAAACAGTAAGAACACCTATCAAAGAAATATATCCCAAATTTTTATCACTCAGGTAATTTGTTTTGCCTACATGACAATATTCACATTTATAATTAAAAAACAAAACCAACATCACCCACGAACACCTATCAAAGAAATATATCCCAAATTTTTACCACTCAGGTTATTTGTTTTGCCTGCATGACGATATTCACATTTATAATTAAAAAACAAAAACCAACATCACCCACCCTCAAAACCATACCTTGGATGGCAAATTCCACAATTAAGTCCAAACTATGCAAATACAGGATCCACTCTCRAGACAGAGTAATTTGTCATGTTTTCTGTATCTTCTGAAAGAGACCGAAAATAGTTTGATACACAAATWACCATTGTCACTTGTTTGAAAAGCAGCATATAACATGTTACCTTCTATTTTGTTTTTCAAACCTCACCTTACTGAGTAGAGCTGTCTGCAAACTGATACATGGATTCTAACTAGCATTCCTCAAATCTCAGTTCTACTACATTTCACAATTTTAATATAGATTTAAAAGGATGTCATTGATGTGAGAATGGTCTGCAYAAAACTGCACTACTGCCAATGTATTTCAGTTACAAATATTTACTTCCCGTATGCCTATTTATAATGATAAATTAGGTTTTATCTTTTTTATTATACTTTGCCAGCAATGCTGAATAAACAATGTTAACATATTGACTTAGYCCAGCAAAGTGAGTTTTTTCCCCTCTTCCTCTTGGTTTAGGTACCATGCATAAATAGATAAAATGGGAGGAATAAAGAAAAACTAGGAGGTACAAAATCTAATAACTAGATAGGAAGTACTAGAWTAAAATTTAAATCACAATATGAATTTATTGCTTTTTCAAACACAGTGCTAAGAGAAGAGATGACTGATCTCAAGTGATTTTGTTCTTTAAAATTCGTAATTTCTAATCAGAAAAACTACAATATGCAAAGAAAAGAACTCTATGAGAAGGTTTACAACAAATAAACTGAGAGAAACAATTAARTGATTTATATTTAGCTGTATACACACAGTATTCATACAAGCAATGAAATTTTCCAAGCAATGCAATTTTCCAATGAAATAATTTGCAGGAAACAAACAGCACTAAAACATCACAGGCTTTGTGGTTTTCTTCCCTCATACCCTAATTTATAGCCATTTTTTCTCAATAAACAGTGCAAATACAAATAATTTGAAAGCAAACAGTAGCTGTGCCTTTGAAAACCTTAAGCTTAGCCAAAACATGACTGAGTCTTTCCTATGTAATCAGGAATTGTTCTTGCCTTTGCAAAAAATACTTTTATTATAGGATGCCTGGACAGTATTTTTTCTTAGCCCTTTTCTTTCTGCCCAATTCCATGAATGGTATCATAAACTCAATATTTTGTTCACTACAATCACCTGCAATGTGAATCTTCATGTGACAGAAGAATGATGAATAGTGAGACCACAGAATGAGTCAGGCAGGCAGAAAGTCAATTCMGAGAAACGAGAAAGCTTTGTGCTAACCAGAAATGTTAGCATGAAATATAAATTGCTTTAACAGGCTTATGTGAATGTAAACACAGAAGAATAAAAAGCATACCATTTTGCATTTCTAACGTACTTAGAAAATTGTAYTTCATGAATACACCCAACACAATCGGTACTCAATTTCTCACCCTAAGAGGCATGACAGTCCTACTCCTTGCACATTCATGGGTGTTGCACAGATACTAGAAATCGTGCCTCACTTTAGCCCTGCTCATTAAGAAGACTTCTAAAATCTGACTTGCTGAAATTTTTTCACCAAATCTTGAACTCAAGTCCAGAACACCACAGATCAGTAATTTATTGCATTGTTCACTGTGAARCACAGTTTTTAGGCCCACACAAACTGAACAATACTATGCTCCATAATACACATTTATAGAGTGGAAAAAAACACCACCTTCTAAAAAGGTTGTATCCTAAGCAAGTCAGAAAAGGAACACAGTAGAAACAAGAGACACACTTTCTCTTATTCGCGATTGCTAAGGCAAGACTTTAACACCAATAGCCTCCCCCAGTTTCTGGATCCAGCTGCAGTTTTAGACCAGTGACCTTCATAAAATCTGAAGAATTACTACTAAAGATTACACTAAAAATACACTTCAACAGGAAAAAAAAGAGGGACTTGAGCCAATCAACTAAATTACTTTTACAAACTAGATTTTAAASAAGTGACATCATATTATCAAGTGTCAGAATTGTCATGAAGCTTTTTGCAACTCTTTTAATGAAACAATGGCATCTGATTAGACAACATAATCAACAACATACTTTTGCTATGACAAAACCCCACGCACCTGGCATTTCTCGTATTTATTCAATGGATGGTTGTAGTGCAGGCCTTGGCACTATGCAGTTATTAGGTAGCTGTTGACAAGATTGTTAAGGTAGGCAAGACATTCCCACACAGTTATTTTTCATTGATAGGATTTGGCAAAGCATACCTGTAAACATCTACTGTAKTCCTAAAAAAACGTCCTTTGGGCTTGGACAGCGATGTGGCTTGCTGCTACTGTATGCACACCACACCCTCCTATCAAAAGTCCATGAAAACTATCTTCACCCACCGCTGACCAAACAGTCATTTRTAGACATGTAATATATGCTATTTAAAAACATTACTGTTTGGATCGTCAGTCTGAGGGGAACCCCKAGAGCGAGGAAATGAAAGTGTGAAACAAAAGGAGGCCAAAGCCATTGCATTTCCTTGTGCACTGCTGCTGCTGGAGAATACCGCCAATTAATCCCACGTGCCTCTCCAATTACCACCGCAAAAGCAGCAAACGCCCTCCTCTCCTTTACAGGACAACCAGCACCCTGGAGCTGCSTGAAAGCGACAGCAGCATTTCCTCACTGCACAGCCGGGGGTATCCCCGCCAAGCCTGCCCGGGGCTCCCCTCCGCAAGCACACCCGGCAGCAGTGCCGGAGCGGAGATGCAAGGATGCAGGCAGCCCCAGGGGCCCCGGCCGTGCTGAGGGG